GGCTAATTTAAGCAGAATGTAGTAGAGAATCCACTCCATGCGTATTATCAGTGTTCCCCCTCCTGGTGCAGGAGGTCAGGCTGGTGCCTGCTGAGGGCAGAGGAACTGCTGGTCTGGCACTGCACTCACCAAGGGCCTTTTTACAGTTTTCAGGTCCCTTTTCACTGAGACACCCAAATGATCTGTTTACCTTCAGAATCAGAGATAAAAAGGATTCAGGACAAAAGCTTGTGGGTACTGAAATGAAAGTGTCATCAGAGCTAGTGGCTTATTGAAAAGTCAGGTTGCTTTCTCCAGCAGACTGTCCCAGTCATGCAGAATAGCTGTACCATGGAGGCATTATAGTGACTGCCTGATGGGACCTTCCTAAGGCTATGGTATTCTGCAAGCAGTTCTTGTCAAACAAACAAACGAACAAAAACCAAAACAAAAAAAACCCAACCAAACAACCAAAAAAGCCCCATGGGGGCAGTGTAACAATTGTTATAAAAATTGGGATAAAAGGAAACAAATGCATGAGCTGAGGCACCTGTGAGATGGATTTCCCTGGGAATTCCTGCTCTCAGCCCTCTGGCCCCAGGGGACCAGCAGAGAGTGGCACCGCCATTGGTCACAACTGCAGCATGCTGTGTCAAATCACTAGGGTGAAAGACATGACTCGAATGAATGGAATTTGGAACTTATTAGCAGATATGTCTGAATCTGGGTTTTTCCCTGAAATTCAGGAGAAGCTGGAAGTCATCTGGTCCTCTGTTTGAGTCACCCAAAGAAGGAGATGAGAGGTCTGTGTGGAGCAGTGCAGAGCAGGACATAGCATGCAAGGAAGGGAGAGGAGAGGGAAAGAATGGTGAAAAGCAACGAAGAAGAAACCAGAAAAAGAGGAGAGATGGCGGGGGCGGGGGGTTCTTCAGAAAACAGAAGCTGAAAATGTTTTAGCTTTAAAGACTTTCTTGGCTACTTCTATATAATCTTCCCTGAGTTTCCTTGTAGAAAGGCTTTATAGAAAGGCAGGATCAGTAAGCAGGGAGCAGCTTATGCTCTCAGTGCTGTACTAATTCTGAGCTCAACTCCCCTGAGGAGCCCTGTCCATAACTTAAGCAGGAGCCGGGTGGGACTTTACTGCGCTCCCCAAGCTCAGGGAGGCATTCTCCTCTTCCCAGTCCCTCCCCTTCCAGAGATGTATGGTGACTATGGGGTTTCTTGAATGTCCAAGCTCTGGTGTGCAATTTTCAGGTGCTCCTATTATGTGTGCACTGGAAATTATGTTCCAAACTGTTTAACAGTCAAAGGTCTAATTTTACAGAAAATAGGGTAATTTTGCAGTTCTCCAGCATAAAAAACATGATCTATCACTTTAATAGTCCTTGGCTGTTTCTTAGCATCTCTCATCTAAAGGCTTTAAAGTGCAGTTAGACCTTAATGAATCAAGACTCACGATCTCCCCAGAAGGTAGGTTTGGTGCTCATTTCATTTTGCACACGAGCAAACTAGGACACAGAGAGGAAGTGATTTGCCCTCCAAGGCCACATATGAAGGCTTAGAACAAATCCAAACTCTGATCTGGCCACCCACCACTTGATTTTTTGAAGCCATTTTTTAGGTAAATCTTGTGCCGTGGCATCGGTGAGGTCCTAGCAGTTTTTTCAGATCAAATGTAAATATTGTCTAAGTCAAGGAAATTTCTTCTAATAAGCAACAGTTCAAAGCAAGGCCTTGTCGATTAGATTATCCCATTTTCTGCCCTTTCCTTGTGGGTCACATAATCTACAGTTCACGACACACAGAGACTTGACTCAGATTTTATACTTGCATACAGACTTGTCCATGTGCACCCTTGTGTGCTGACGCTTTTCTGCAGGGCCTTGCAGCACCCCCAGCTGCTGCAGTGAATGGGAAACTCTTTCTGATCGCCCTGCGCCAGCAGCCGGGCTGGTGGTGTGACCGCCAGCCGCTGGGAGGCTGCTGGAATTTTGATGAGTTAATCTCATCACTTTATCACAGGGCACTTACAGAAATTACAGGGAGCTGTGAGCAGCTCACTGTGCTGGCAGCCAGCCCCAGGACCCATAAAAGAAATTGAGACACACACAAAAAAAAAAAGTCAGAGAACTTTGTTAAAGTTTTGGAGACGATAGTTTTTCTTGGACGAGTTCTGCTTGGGTAATGCTGATTGTGCCTTCCCTGGTGATGTCCCTGTTTCCTGCAATAATGACAGGTATTGCCTCCAGCTGTAGGTCTCAATCCATGCAGCACGGAGCATGTTTTGGGGCCTGATATAAAACGCCATTTACTTTGGCAGCATTGTCTTGTGTGAAGAGGGTACAGTGGGCCTCACCTCTAGCATTTGCGACTGTAGAGAGGGCTGTAAGACACAGCTGCTGGTGCTTTCTTCCTTTAGACTGGGCACAGTGTGTGGAAGGGGCACATGAGTCTGTGTTCAATATGAAGGCAATAAGGCATGCTGAATGGGACGTCCCACCAGTGCTGGGTGTATTTTTTCACCTGTGCTTACCAGCAAACCACATGGCTGCTACACTATATGGATGCCACTGCTTCGCCATCCAGGAAGGGGAGCTTGCCCAGTGCCCATCCTCCTCTGGCTCTGGTCCTTTAATGGTCATGATCCCAGTAGAGAAGTGCCTTTGAAAACTGCTTATTCAAGCTGTACATACAGTGTGTATATGGTAACCAGTACCTCCTCTGACACTATCGCATTTAGTTGTGATGTAGGTTTTGTAGACTATTTCCAGTACTTTGCTTGTCAAGGGGTCCATGGGCTGGAGGCATGGGGAAGCTGGGGGATCTGCTTGACACAGTGTAGAGGAACCTTGAGCTGCCAGATGAGGGCTGTCACTGCCTCCCGCTGCTATAAGAGCTCAGTGCCCTTGGTGTAGTGTCTCTGTGTTAGGGGGCAAATTTTTTGGCCTTGGGACCATAAAACATGACATCTTACATCTCTCCAGAACTCTGGTGCTGGCTTTGGTGAGAACGATGGGCATTGAAACTAAGGTAAAACCTTCCAAAGTGAGACTGTGTTTGAGTTTTATCCCAGGTTTGTTCCTGCTCTGTTCCTTCCTGTGTGGGGCACAGCAAGTATCTGATCATGAGGTCAGGGCCTCCGTACTCATGGATCTGTAATGTGCTGGAGCTCTGTCTAGAGCAGGAGTTTGTTTATTACCTTGAGATCAAGCCTGAATCTCAATTTCCAGCTCTCTGAGAACCTTGATACATTGCTGGCTATTGAAATTCAGGTGCTGCACAATGACGAAATACAGTCTGAATGGAAGCAACTTGTGCAGCACACTCTGCTCCTGCAGACAGACTGCATTTTGGGGGCAGATGAGCAATGGTGAGGAATGGGGTGGCTGGGCTGGAGCTTAGGGGCAGATTGCAAGTCTTGTAACAAAACAAGAGGCAAGAGGTAGAAGGTTTATAACTAGCAGGCAGATCACCTTTAGGCTTTGGGGGTTGTCTGCTCCTGGGGTTTCACCCAGTATGGGCCAAGCACAGTGAGATAAATCAAATGGTGCTTTCTTCCTTTTGAATCTGTGCTCTGTCTTTCCATTCAGATTCCCAATGGGCTTTCCAACTGCTTAGTTAGCCCCAAGGTCTAATCACCACCCCCAGAGATTGGTATGTATCAGATTGTTGGTCTTTATTTAGAGGAAGGAAGGGTCTTGCACAAGAACATAGAAATCCATTGCAGAAGTAGGAACAAAAATCAAGTCCTGTCCCCATGCTACTAAATGGTAAGCTCTACTTCTAATCTGATGGTATACGAAGTCCATACTGTGTGTTCTCTCAGCTCTAACCTACACTCCTCCCTACAGCTCTGATTGAACTTCGAACTCTTGAATCTCAATTTCCTACTCTAAACCACGAAACCAACTTTTCCCATTCTTCTGAACCGACTGTAGAGCTCAGAAATCCTTTTTGGAGCTGCCTGATTTACCCAGTAGCTAGACTGCCTTAAATGTATTGTCATTGTCAATGCATCACTGTCAAGCTTAGATTTCCAGTCCTGCTCCACAGCAAACATTGAATAGCCCTCTTCAGGAACATCACCTCCAAAGTGAATGGCAGGATAGAGACAGCCATTTCTGTTGTCTTCTACGGCTAAATAATTGTTGCATTACACTGTGATCCAGAATAACTCCACTTACATCCTCATATCAGACCCTCCCATCCATGTTTCCGTTACATTCTTGGCTTATGATAAAATACGATGTGACCAGAAATAAATTTGGTATTCTTCTTTCCCTGTTTTGTCTTGGAGGCAGAATTAGGAGGTGATCATAAATGAAAGGAAATGAGGAAAGAAATACTGATGCTCTGTGCAGGGGGATGAGAGGCAGGTGCACAAGGACTAATAAAGTAAAACTGGAAAGATTTGCATAGAGAGCCTGTGTTCATTTTACAGGACATCTTACCTGTCTTTCTCAATCCAGACCTACTGCTTCCCTGCCACCTGTAGTATGCCAGCTGGCAGGAGGAAGCAAAGGAGGAAATGCCATCTCTGAGCTCCCTGGTCCCCCAAGAAAGACAAGAAAGGACAGGTGACATCCATCCCACAGACATGGAGCAAGACTGGCAGCAAGGGGAATGCTGCTAATGTCTGAACTGCTCCCACTATCAGCCCTGGACTTCAGGGAGCAGGCCAGGTTATAAGGGGTGCAGCACAAGGGATGCTGACATGCCTGGAGGACACATTGTGCCTAAAAGCCCAGCATTGCAGTCAGCCCCTTGGATGGACAGGTTTCTCCCAATACTTAGAGCAGTATTGCTTTTTTCTGAAATGTGTTCTAATAAGTAGTGCTGGGCTCTCTAAAAGCCATCATCAGCCGGCTGTGATCTCAGAGTTATGTGTGCGTGCGAATGAGTGAGCAATCATACAGCATATACAGACTGATGGTGGTGGGAATATCTGAGCACTATAGCCTGTCCCTGGATCAGTGGGGAGAACATGGTTCCTGGGTGACCATCTCTGTGTTTGATTGCAGGGAATATTGAATACAGCTGCCCGGCCACCAATGAATGTGAGATCACGAAACGGAGGCGCAAGTCCTGTCAGGCCTGTCGCTTCATGAAATGCCTCAAAGTGGGGATGCTAAAAGAAGGTAAGACAGTCAGACTGAGAATTGTTCTCTGTCCCAACAGCACCTGGGACTCCAGGCCTTGCAGGATCTCCTAGGCTAACTACACACTTGCCCTCTCTGGCTTTCCGAAGGTATCTTTTTACAGGCTTTGTAAAAGAGCCAGGATGGGCAGTGTCCAAGAGGGCAGTCCAGAGAGGAGAGTGGTTCTAGTCAGCACCCTCATGCTAGGATATTACTTCTAGCACTTGCAAATTTGACAAATAACTGGAAACTGGCTGTGCCAGACTGTTTCCTTTCCAAAAGGAACCCCAGGCTGGAGGGTGTTGCTCTTCTTGCCCCCCAGGTCATTTTGCCGTGTTGGTGAGGAGAAGCTCTTGCATGATCATGACTGGGTTGGCTGGGCTTCGTAAGGAAAGGATGGAATTAATGCAGAGCTATGGCACAGTGTACAATGAAGGTCTGCCCATATTCTCACTCAGGAGACTTTCTGAAGATGGTGGGTAGCACATGTTTGTCTGGGAGCTGTGGGTCCCCTGCCCTGCATGCTCAACCTGCGTTGTGCTTAGCCTATTGATCTGTTCAGCGCGCTCTGAGCAGTGTTCAGCTTCTCTCTTGTGCTGCTTTTCCTCCCCCCACCCCCTCCCCAATCCTTGTCCATTCAAGGTGAACCCCAGGGAATTCAGTGGCAATTAAACACATTCTTATGGATTGATTTTAAAGCTTTGTTTCACTTGGGTCCCTCTGGGAGAGGCAGCGAGGGGAGGAGGGGGAAGGAAGGAGAAGCATTGCATGTAATCCTCTGCATTGCTGTACCTGGCAGAGCATGGTCCCCTCAGTTTAACCACAAGGAACAGCAGCTGGCTGTGATCTGTGCAAGTCCTGTATGCTGGAGCCAAGATGCCAGCATGCAGCTTGCTTCCAGGTCATACCATCATAGCAGCTGGTGATGAATTGTACAATGTCACTTGAGCGTGTATTGCTTTGCACTAGGGCTCTCTCATTTCTTGAGAGGCAGCCAGTGATGTTAAGAATGTAGATGAGATGTTAAACCCTGTTCTGTTCTTTGATGGATGTGTAGTTTCTGTGGTTAAATATCTTCCTGCTAGAGCACACCAGTTACCAAGGGAAGGAGATGCAGACTTGTGTAGTCTGGCCTTCCCTGACCTAGGTATAGAGGTGGTAGACTTGGAGGATCTTGATCCACTGCTGGGAGGGAGGCACCTACTTTTGGAGTTAGAGAGGGACCACTGGAAATCTGCTTTTCTGCATGCGGTAGTTCATGGAGGGGATATATCCCCTTACTCACACACCAATCCACACTAGTGACACCGGCTTTAGTGGGAGCGCGGATTGGTAATACGCTCTAGCCTGCTCATACGAATCCCATAAAACAACCTGAAAAGCCTCATGTGGCTCCAGTCACTCTGCAGAGCAGCAGCATGGGTCCAGGCTCACTGGCTGCCTGTGTCTGTGCTGCCCTGCGTCCAAGCAGTTGAGCCTCTTGGAGCTGGCAGCTGGGGGAGCAGAGTCACAGGAGCTGGCGCTGGTGTGTCTGACTGTGTGGCCAGGGCATCCTCTGCTTCCAATTCTGGGAGTTCGACACAGTCCAGAGCAGGGTCCTGCGAAGGGTTTTGTGGCTTAGCCTCCGAGTTGTGTGAAAACAGTTAACTGCTTCCAGACCAGAGTTAGGCTGGAAAGCAATGTAGGTTCACTCACACCATGCTGTGCCTGAACTCCTGAGCCCCGCGGGATACTACTTATGGCAAACTGAAATTTGACTCTAAGGCTGCTTTTGTGCTGAAGTGTATTTAGTTATTCATATAGGGATTGATTCGTCATCATTAAAGCCACTGGGGAAGGATGGTTTGCTATTGATGTTAGTGTATCTGTAATCCTGCCCATAATATTTAGAGCTGTGGAATATACAGTATAAAGATTTATTGATAGTAATGGGATGCAAGAACACGTAACAATATCAAGAGGAGCAGAGGAGACTACACTAGCCATCTGCAAATAGGACTCCTGTGGTCAAGTGATGTTGGGCAGCCATCTTTTTTTCTCTTTCTTTTGCTCAGTTTCCCGAGCTGAGAAATAAGGGTCATACTGCTTTGCTTTGCAAAAGGATTGTGAGGACCAATTAGTTAACTTTATGTGAAGCCTGGTGGAAGCACAAAGTATTAGTATACAGAATTCAATCAATATGCATCTTTAAAAGCAAAATCCAAAAAGGGAGAAAAATGGTTTTACAGTCTTTGGTCTCCACAGAGCCAGGAGTTTCTGGAAAGAACAAATCCATAATTGTTTGACTTGCTCAAAAACACAGAATTGACAAGGGATTTTGGATTAGAAAAGGTCCATTGGTCTTTTCCATCTCTGATCTGTCATCCTATTAGCTCATCCATCCCTTTTCTCTGCCAGGGCAGGAGTGTTCCCAGCTGTACATTTCTAGTAGTTTAACTGTTTTTAAAAATCCCTGATGTCTTGGTTTCCCCAGAGAGCCTATTCTGCAGTCTCCAAGCACTCATTAGGACAAGATGTGTCTTGATACTTGAGCTATGATTTTTTTCCTTTCAACAGTTCCCCTTCCTACTTTGCCTTGGTATACCTCTCTCTTCTTCCTCGGGTTCATCCATGGCAGAAGGTTGTTAAGCCAGGTTCATTCTCCTGCTTGATTACCAGGAGTGTGGGGAAAAACGGTCTTGTGGTTAAAGGCGAGATCTAGAAACCAGTTCGTCTCTTGACAGGTTTATCCTTGATGTCCTTGGCACTGGGCTGGTAACTTAGTGGGGACGTTTCTGGGTAAAGAAACTGTCCTTCCTCTGAAGAAGAGTGTGATATTCCATTAGTACCTAATTAAGGGCTTCATGATTTCTTCTCATTAAGGGAGGAAAGATTTTCCTGATTCTTGTTGTCATACATGATGTATATACCACCTCCTGCCCGCTGGGCGTGTGGCGTGAGCCTGTTCTTCAGGCAGAAGGCACCAGTATTCAAAGATGGCGAAAACAGGTAAGCATGACTTCAAGCTTCTGCCTTACACTTGAAATGCTCAGCTTGATGCTGCAGGAGAGACTTAGGCCCTCGCTTTGTGGAGTGCGTATGAGGGTCACCAGACACCTTCTCTCCTCCCTACATGGGCTGCAGCGAGGCAAACAGCTGTGAATGTAGCCCTTTAAGATCTGGGGAGACTGCCCCTAACGTAGAAGTGCAGGTTATTCAGGCAGTGCCGAGTGAATGAGGATCAGGGCAGGAAGAGAGCCGATGGAGCAATCAATAGGTGTCTCAGATATCCAGGCCACTTTCTTTAAGAGAGCTCCGATCAATGCATTGCAGCGAGGGAACTGCACGGACACCAGAGCTTTGCTGTCTCAGGTTCTCCTGGCGTGACGCTGCAGAGCAGGCGAGACTTGCTGGGGAAAGCGGCAGGCGGAAAGCTCTGCCCACGGAGCCCAACTGGCTCAGATGTCTGAAGTGTTGGCCTGTCTGGCTGCCTGTCTCTCACTTTCGCCTTCCACCTGCAGTGCGCCTCCAGAGAGCATTAATTAGCCCCTCACTAGCAGGCTCAGATAGGAAGCTGCTGAATCTGGAGTCCAGGATTCCAGCGGACTCCAGTCCCAGTGCCCCTGTGGAGAGGCACTGTCCCCAGAGAACTTGTGCTCTGCTGCTCTTGGCCTTGCTGAAGCACCAGCCTGCAGGCAGCAGGGGATGGGGCATCTTCACAGCTTCGTCCAGCAGAAGTGCATGCCCCCCTGCTCTGCAAAAATCAGGGAAACCTGAGCAACCTGTGATACTGCTGTCCCCAAATGGAGAAGATGATATCTACATATATGCCTGGCCAGTGGGGATGGCCAGTGAAGGAAAGCATGCCCTGCAACTCAGATGCCCGAGGCATTGTTCAGAGCTGGGCATCCCTGTCTTTGGCCACCCCGTTGCCTCTCTTTGCTCCCAGCATGATGTGGTTTGTGCTCACAATGACCAAAGTGTAGCTCTTTAGCTCTGGGCTCTGCAAAGTAGATCTAGATTTCTCTGGCTCTCTAGAATGATGGATCGAGAAATTTCAACGGTTTGGCAGGTCTCTTTTAAAACCTCAATATACCTTGTCAGTTTTGGGGAGAATATACCCTTGCCATTCACGCTCTAGCCACCCATGGCCTTTCTGTTCTACAGCAATTTGTTTGTCTTCAAGAGGTAGATGTAATTTCAGATGACACATGGCTTGTGTAAGTGGGCTCAGAGGTTTGATTTTGGACATTGGCTGGTTAAACATGACCTCACAGCCTTGCCCTCCATACCTCTGCTGTCTCTCTGAAGTCACAGTCCTGTGTGTCACCTTGCAGAACAGCACCGTGATGAGGACAGTGATGTCAGTCCTTCTCTGTGTGTCAGTGTGGTGAGTTGACCTTGGCTGGCCACCAGATGCCCACTAAGTTGCTCTCTCACTCCCCTTCCTCAGCAGAACAGGGGGAGAAAATATGATGAAAAAGCTCGTGGGTCGAGATAACGACAGGGAGATCACTCAGCAATTACTGTCACGGGCAAAACTCAACTTGGGGAAAATTAATTTAATTTCTTGCCAGTTAATAAGAGAGTAGGATATTGAGAAATAAAACTAAAACCACTTTTCTCCCACTTCTGCTTCTTCCCAGGCTCAACTCACTCATGGCATCTACCTCCTCCCCCCCTGAGCAGCACAGGTGGATAGGGACTGGGGGTTTGTGGTCAGTTCATAACACTTTGTCTCTGCTGCTCTTTCATCCTCACGCTGTTCCCCTGCTCCAGCGTGGGGTCCCTCCCATGGGATACAGTCCTTCATGAACTTCTCCAACGTGAGTCCTTCCCATAGACTGCAGTTCTTCAAGAACTGCTCCAGCATGGGTCCTTTCCACAGGGTACAGTCCTTCAGTAACAGACTGCTCCAGTGTAGGTCCCCCATGGATCACAGTTCCTGCCAGAAAACCTGCTCCTACATGGGCTCCTCTCCACGGGCTGCAGCTCCTACCAAGAGCCTGCTCTGGCATGGG